TCGAATGTGGAAAAGAGACGAGAAATAACACGTTGGAACGATCCACGGAAGTGATACAATGCGCAGCACGCATGAGTCAGAGGAAAGATAAGACGAGATAAGGAAAGCCACATTGGTGGCATGAGTCAGAACGAGTCATAGCCGAAGGCACGTGCGCACGTTGGTGCGATAGGAGGGGGCGAGGACGGAACGGTCCCGAGATCAGTCAACGGCTAGTCGGTAGAGAAGTACGAGCCGGAGGTATACGAGGGGCGGATGAAGGGGAAAAAATGATAGGGGGGCATGTAGCCGATGTTACTTTAACAGTATGTGTACTCTATATTGACATATTTTGAGAAGCTGACAGCATTTTCAATAAGCAATGACTCAGGCTGCCATGCGCCTAGCCTTATCATGGCTGAGGCTGCAGAGATTGAGTGTGGTAACAACATGTCCCTACACGATGATATATCACCCTCTGTGTTAATTTCGTCGGGATTAGAACTTGAAGATCAGCAGTTGAGTGTATATTCAAACGACCGAAAGTGATACATCACGCGAGCCCCAAATACAACTGAAAGTGATATATCACTCAAGCCTCAAGGGCTTTGAAGGTGATATATCACATCATGCGAGCCCTCAAACACGGACCAAAAAGTGATATATCACGTGAGCCTCAAGGGCTTTGAAGGTGATATATCACAGACACAGCCCTTAACCGACCGAAAGTGATATATCATGTGAGCCTAATATATCAATGGTCTATGTGATACATCACAGGACAGGCAGCAAGAAAGGTGAGGGAGGTGATACATCATGGTTTATGGACCACAGGCTCTGATATAACACCAGCCTTCTACAATACTAGACATTGATATATTATACCTACAGGATATTGTGCGCAATCATAGTCTTCGCTGTCCCATGCATTTTGAGCTTGAATCCCCAAACAAATTGTGAGTATGTGTTGATGATCAAGAGAATATTAGTAAAACCCCCTTTTGATTTCGGCATTGCTAGATAATCTGCCACGAAGAGTTCGAATGGATGTGTCTGACGATAGGCTCAAGAAGCGAATTTAGGTCATGATGGCTTTGGTGATTGAGCAGTCCAGCCGAGGGCTACATATTCGGTGAGTTGGAGCTTGGTCATGTCGCGTCCCCAATGTCCGTGCTCCGCGTGTGTCATAGGTATCTTCCATAGTTTGTTATTCAGGGACTGTATTAGATTGTTGTAGTAAATTTTGGCTGAATAATTGGTCTAGTAAATATGCATATCAATCCTTATAATAGTTTCAACCAACATCATGTCTTTGAAATTTGCTATATTACTTGATGCCTACTATAATAGCTATGACAGTTGAAATGCTCATAATGCATGACAAATGGTAGGAACCAACTTTCTTCCTATGTATTTATGCACGAAATCCACCATTGAATAATGCAGGGATATTTATAGACTTATGCATCATATATACTACATAGAGTAATGCGGAGCCTTTGCTCACTAGGGACCCTGAACAAATAAAATCAAGCAGGGAATGATTTTTTCCTGCTTTTTAATGGCACCTGCCAGACCCCCCAAAGTGTAAACCTCGTCACAGCCATGAACCCTATGTTCATGTTATGAAACCCAAGGTCAAAGACTTACGCAAGACATCTGCATTACCCAGCCTCCAGCCCATGCATGACACAAAATCTAACACTCAGTGACTGGCTAACTGTAGTCAGATATTATGATGATAACCAGCCTATATCACAGGAAGATGTTGTTAAGCATTTCAAGAATCTTCCTCAGGGTGCTTTGATATTTATGCAATCATCATTCTCTCGTCACATCACAGCAAAAGTAATGATCAGGCCTGTTTGTCATCAAATCCAACAGCTCTTTCAGGGAAAAGGGTCCAGATTGTTACCCAGCCAGATGTTGAAAAGGTGCTCGTTTTGTGGGTTGGTCATATGGAGCAGAAACGTGAAACTGTTACGCTTGTCTGACCAGAGGTCAGATGTAAACGAGATTTTGCCCTCTGCTTTCTGAGAGAATATAAGATGATTTGTAAGATCAAAGAGTCAGACACTTATGGCCATATCTTGCTCTAAAATGTCAAAATATTTGTACCACGTTTCAACTATCAACTTGCGGAGTTTTGTCCGATGGGGAATGTCGGACTCGCGTAGATCCTTCTGCAGAAGTCAAAGTAGCCATCAGAACTCAGGGCATTCCATTAAATTCACTGCCTAAAGATGCCAATCAATAACAGTATTGTAGAGAGCCAATACATACTCACTTGGTCATGGACCACAATAAATTTGACGAGTTGCCTGTGCATCTCCTCGATAGTAAAATCCGGTGTGTCATCTGCAAGTGCTGACCCACCTAGCCTGGGTCGTGAACCAAAGACCCCCCCTGCCAGGGGGGGAGGGCAAACCAAATGACTCAAGATACTTATTTGGGTCCTGGTTAAGCTAACCCGAACTGCCGTGTAACCATTAAAAGCCAGAGCCAAACTAGCCATAGCTGAACCACAGCATTACTAGGCCCAATGCTATGGCAAAAAATGCAAAATTTGAGGAAGTCATGGATATACCAGAGGACAAGAGGTTAAAAAGTGGTGGTTGGGTACAAAATTTCCTGCAAATGTGAGCCAAGAGTTAATATTTTACACCATATCAATTTTCTGCTGCAAGTTGAATGCATGAGTTCAAACCAGCTGTGTTTCATTTTGAATTTTTGTTTACTTTTTTGAGAACGCTGCTACTATTTCTCTACTTGAAGGCCACATATATAAAGGAAGATAGAAAGATAACAACTTAGTGCGTTGTAAGATTTTGATTTGTTGCATGCTGTGGCACTTGCTCGCTCCATGTCTCTTCCTCCAAAAAAATAATACTGTCCACAGCACACACTAAGACTGACCTCAACAGAAGATCAAACTCACAGTGTCATTGTAAGACTATCATCTAAGCATGCTCTCACTGAACCCCTCCCCTTCACTTTCATGTCTTTTTTTGAAAAATAATTTTTTTGGGTTAGTAGATTTATCTTTATATCTGCCTTTTTTTGCCCTTCCACTGTGGCAGTCCCAGAGTGCCACTATGGCAGAATTCAAAAATAAATTCCTGTGTGAAGCATCCCTTAATTCACAGTGGCAGTCCTTAGATTGCCACCGTGGACAGGGTCTTTTTTTTTTTTTGTGAAAGCATATGGTGTACATTTTGAATCAGAGCATGGTTATTGGATGGCAGTCTGAGAGCACCACTGCGTGCATATTATCTGAGAGTGGTGGGACCATAGACAGGGTAATTTATTTTGTGCAAACAAGAGGTGGATAGAGGGCAGACATTTGAAATCAGAACATGCCATGGATGGCAGTCTGAGAGTGCCGCTGTGGTGCATGGTGAGATGGCTATATGTTTTTTTTGGAGGGTGGTGAGGAGTGCCAGTGGTGAGGAAGCTGATATCCTTATCTTGCAAGTGGAGCATAGACTCATTTTTTGATGAGCTCCACTCGCTCAGTGAATTGCATATAGTAGCTAGATTCAGGCATCATCAAAGTCAACGCACAGTGGCATTCCCACAAGATGTGCACCACTTTCATGAATTATGAATTCCAAGCATTATTTTTTTTAGAAGAGACATGGTAGAGTGAGCTTGAGTTTTTTTGCCCTTCCACTGTGGCAGTCCCAGAGTGCCGCTGTGTGCATGATCTAACAGTGGAGGGAGGTGGCAGATAGTGGTAGTCTCAGAGTGCTGCAGCTCTTATTCACCAGTGGCAGTCCTAGATTGCCACCGTAGACAGGGCCTTTTTTTTTTGAAAGCATATTTATCATGCTTATTTTGGCCTGGAGACAATCACATTGTCAAGTGTTTTTGACACCGCAAAGTTTCTACTTTCACCAGTGGCAGTCTGAGAGCGCCGCTGCATGCATAGTATCTGAGAGTGGTGGGAGAGAAGGGGAGGGATAGAATATTTATGTGGATGGTGAAGGGCATACATGAGCGGCCGTCTCAGAGTGCCACTGCGTGCATGAACGACTTTGATGATGCATTGTAACATAGTCATAGTCAGAAATACAGGATGCGCGCGTAACTTTTGCTTTATTCATCATGCTTATTTTGGCTTTGCACGGAGTGCCACTGGAGACACGGTCTTTTTCTTTCTTTCTTCTTGCACTTTATCTTTTGGCTGTGAAGCCATGACAGTTAGTGCTGCTGCATGTAGATTGCCATCATGGACAGGGTCATTTTTTTGTGAAAGCATGAGGCAGGCATTTAAATCAGAGCATGTCATGGGAGGGCAGTCTGAGAGTGCTGCTGCATGCATGGTATCTGAGGAGTTGGTAGATAGAATTATTTATGTGGATGGTGAAGTGCATGCATGAGTGGCAGTCTCAGAGTGCCACTGCGTGCATGGTCAAACAGTGGTGGCGGCATTGTCAAGGGGGGGGGGGGGGATGTTGATATAAAAGGGCATGCATATTTTGGGGAGCCATGTTGGGAGCTGCACGGCGGCCGTCTGAGAGTGCCATGGTATATTTTCATATTTTTGGGAGCCATGTTGAGAGCGGGTATATTTTCAGAATGTGGGGCGGGGACGGGGTAAATTTTCATATTTTGGGGGGGAGCCATGTTGGGGGCCGCACGGCGGCCATCTGAGAGTGCCATGGTATATTTTCAGATTGTGGGGGATGGGGATGGGGTACATTTCATATTTTGGGGGAGCCATGTTGGGGGCCGCACGGCAGCCGTCTGAGAGTGCCATGGTATATTTTCATATTTTGGGGGAGCCATGTTGGGGCTGCACGGCGGCCATCTGACTGAGAGGGCCATGGTATGTTTTGAGATTGTGGGGTTTCATCTTTTGGGGAAGCCATGTTGGGGGCCGCACGGCGGCCTGTCCCGGAAGGCCAGGTTTTGAAATTCACCCTTCTGGAAGCCATGTTGGGGGCCGCCTGGCGGCCGTCCAGGGTGGGAAGGGCAAAGTTTTGAAAATCGTCTGGCTATTGAAATGGGACCGTGGGAAAACCTAGGACTGCCGTTTTTTTGGCTGGTCCCAAACCTGAAGGTGCTCATAACTGATGAACGGGTGGAACCCAAGGTAAGTGATATGGGTTCTCAGCGGCTGACATTCTAACCCTCCGCCTGCAGAAACGGACGCCGCGCATAAGCGCCGAGATGGCCATCCACGAGGTGCGTTGTGCCAACTGCAAGAAAGTGGCCCGCACATGCCACGTCGCCTCCACGGGCGAGTCGTGCTACGAGTGCCGCCGTGGGAAGGTGAAGTGCTCCCATGTCGGAGGTAAGTGTTTCCTTCGTCCGTCTGGTACAATAAGCACTAACTATAGAATCAGTCAAAGGAAACAAAAAGACCGCGGCACCCTCACCTCCACTTCCACCTCCACCACCACCAGCGCCGGCTCCCAAGCCTAAACCTAGGCCGAAGCCGGTTGCTTCGACTTCCCGTCCCGTCCGGGCCTGCTCAAAGGCCACGCAAGTGCCAGGCCAGGCCGCCAGGACACAAACTAAGTCCAGCGAGCCAGCCGCCGTCGCACCGGCACAACCACGGGCGGTGCCAGGCCCCCGGTGCGTAAACAACGCCTACGTCGAGCTCCGGACGTGCACCAAGCGGAAGATCGCCGCCGTCGAGGAGGAAGAGAGCGAGAGCGAGGACGGCGAGGAGGAGGCATACTTGGCCGGTCGGGTGTCGGGCCTCTCCAACATCTTGCAGATGATAGAGATGGCCTGCGCCACTATGAGGAAGGAGGTGGAGGAGATTGATGGGCAGGTTACAAAGCGCCGCCGCCGCCGCCGCTAAACAGGATACTTACTTTTTTAATGTATAATTCAAAACATCATGATTGTAGTTTGTACTTGTACATGTAGTTACTTAGTTTTATTACTGTAGTTTACTGTAGTTGGTACACATGGAATAGCATGTGGCCATTATGTATTGGGTTGATAAGAATTTCTGTGTGAGCCGGGTCTCTCAAAGGATGTTAAACCCATGATTGATGTGGTACGGTCGAGGTCTCCGGATGACTTATTTACTTCGAGTGCGCGGCTTGCATGTGTAACGGGAAGGATTTCTATTGGCCTTGTCAGACGGCTCCCATTGGGGACCGGACCTTACATCTGGGAAGGGATCAGTACACGGATGATCGGAGGAAGGCGCCGACAGAGGACCGGACCACTCAATGAGAGTAGATATAATATATGTGTATGGACCGGCCTGCCAGTGGTACGGCTCCCATTGGGGACCGGTAACAGTGTTGTTAGTATAATTGAACTAGTAATGATCCAACGGCTCCGGCTGAGGACCGGACCTCTGGGGTAGGTAGTTGATAAGTTGACGATATGCCTCAGCCTATGGTACGGCACCCGTTGGGGACCGCATATATGTCATCCGTGATGATATTTGCCTGGGTGATGTCACGGCTCCCATTGGGGACCGCACTTGCATTGACCGAGTGTATTACATTATGCCTGTATATATCGGACGGCACCCGTTGGGGACCGCATATATGTCATCCGTGATGATATTTGCCTGCATGATGTCACGGCTCCCATTGGGGACCGCACTTGCATTGACCGAGTGTATTACATTATGCCTGTACATATCGGACGGCACCCGTTGGGGACCGCACATATGTCATCCGTGATGATATTTGCCTGGGTGATGTCACGGCTCCCATTGGGGACCGCACTTGCATTGACCGAGTGTATTACATTATGCCTGTACATATCGGACGGCACCCATTGGGGACCGCACATATGTCATCCGTGATGATATTTGCCTGCATGATGTCACGGCTCCCATTGGGGACCGCACTTGCATTGACCGAGTGTACTAAATCATACACGTACTTGTGAGACGTCTCGCATGGTGGACCAGATCTCTTAAAAGTCTCCTTATGATATGAACTAGTACTTGTCGACGGCTCCGATTGAGGACCGGACCTTTGAAGTAGGATCATTAATGATATTTGCTTCAGCTGGCTGGTGTGACGGCTCCCATTGGGGACCGCACTTGATTCACAAAAAGCAACATTGAGGCCCAGCGAGGTGCGGTCCACCATGCGAGACGTCTCACAAGTACGTGTATGATTTATTACACTCGGTCAATGCAAGTGCGGTCCCCAATGGGAGCCGTGGCATCATGCAGGCAAATATCATCACGGATGACATATATGCGGTCCCCAACGGGTGCTGTCCGATATGTACATGTATGATTTAGTACACTCGGTCAATGCAAGTGCGGTCCCCAATGGGAGCCGTGACATCACCCAGGCAAATATCATCACGGATGACATGTATGCGGTCCCCAACGGGAGCCGTACCATAGGCTGAGGCATATCATCAACTACCCAACCACCTATCCCAGAGGTCCGGTCCCCAATGGGAGCCGTGGCATCATGCAGGCAAATATCATCACGGATGACATATATGCGGTCCCCAACAGGAGCCGTACCATAGGCTGAGGCATATCATCAACTACCCAACCACCTATCCCAGAGGTCCGGTCCTCAGCCGGAGCCGTTGGATCATTACTAGTTCAATTATACTAACAACAACACTGTGACCGGTCCCCAATGGGAGCCGTACCACTGGCAGGCCGGTCCATAAACATATATTATATCTACTCTCATTGCCTCAGCTGATTACTAGTTCAATTATACTAACACTGTTACCGGTCCCCAATGGGAGCCGTCTGACAAGTACATGTATGATTGATACACTCGGTCAATGCAAGTGCGGTCCCCAATGGGTGCCGTATCATAGGATGAGGCATATCATCAACCAACCAACCACTGAACCACTGACCCCAGAGGTCCGGCCCTCAGCCGGAGCCGTCGGACAACACCATATGTCTTATAAGTTTATAAGTTAAGTTTATAAGTTCAGGTGTAAGCATACCGAGACTCATGAGATGTCCGGTCCCCAATGGGAGCCGTACCACTGGCTCCAACTTATATCCGGTCCTCAATCAGAGCTTTGGACAGGTCCGGATCCCTATCCACCGTCTGGTAAGGGACAGATGTAAGTATACTAAGAGGCATGAGAGGGCCGGTCCCCAATGGGAGCCGTCTCACACATAAGATGACAACTGATACCTAGCCGGATACATCATCCGGTCCTCAATGAGGGCCATGCAACAATGACATACTTATGCTCACTATAGGGTGAGATCCCCTATGCGACGGTCCCCAATGGGTGCCGTTTGACATGTTCAGGTATGATAGAACTTTGGTTCACCACAGGTGCGGTCCCCAATGGGAGCCGTCGACGGCCGTAGGGTGTTGTGCAACAAGGACATACATACCTATGCTCACTACAGGGTGAGATCCCCTGTGCGACGGTCCCCAATGGGTACCGTTTGACATGTTCAGGTATTATCGGACCTTTGCCCACCACAGGCGCGGTCCCCAATGGGAGCCGTCGACGGCCGTTGGTCAGCAATACGGACCCCTCACCCATGCGGTCCCCTTTGGGAGCCGATGGAATGTGTACCGGACGGCTGACCAGGAGGGTACCACTATGAATCTAGGGTTAGGATGACCATTAATGGAAACTTTCGCCTAAAGGACAACCCCACGCTAGGGTTAGGGTCCTGCCCCTTGAGCCGTCCGTCTACCGGGTCTACGTCCCCGTATCAACCCTAACTAACCCTAACTAACCTAACTAAATGATAGATGATGTCGAGGGGAATGTGGCTGTTGTGGTGCGACGTTTTGATTATGTAATATGAGCGAGATATGGGCGAAATGAGTGAAAAAGGCTGGAATTTTGTGTGTTGAGTCGCTTGTGTATTGCTTGATTTTGACTGGATGATTGCTATCGTAATATGACTTTGGTTGTGATTTGACTTGATTATTGCTTGACTTTCCTTGATGGATGGCTTATGATTTATTTCTTATGGGTCGGGCGAGGACAGAACCTTGAGATGACTTGGCTTGATATTGCTTGATATTTGTGATTTTTTTGTGTTTGTATGGCTGCGGTGCGGGCATATTTTGGCTGTTATATTGCTGTAGTAGTCTTGCTTGTATGGGGTGATGCGTCTTTGTGGTCGGAATGTTGTGCTGACTTGAATTTGAGTGTGCTTGATTTTTGCGATTTTGTTGCTGGGGCGGTATGAGATCGTAGTCTTTTCCTTGATTTTTGCTTGTCTTTCTGTCTTGGTCTGGCGCGTAGTATTGAGTATTGCCGAGAACCGAGACAACGAGACAATACGTTTTTATCCTAAGCTGAAGCCTAGCTCTAACCGGTGGGCGGGTGGGATGGGCTTGATTCGTAGCTTGGTGTGTTTCCTTGATTCCGCTGCGTTATTGCTATCATAGTCTGGGGTGACGCTTTGGTCGAGGTCGGAATTTGTATATGATTTTTGCTTGATTTTTGCGCTATTGTATTTGTGGCGGGGGCGGTGTCTTTGTCTGGGGTGATACTTTGGATGAGGACAGAGCCTTGTGTTGAATTGACATGTTGGGGTGCGAGTCGCTTTATTTTTTGCTGCAGTAGTCTTGGGCGAGAGGTTGAAATCTTGTTTGGACTTGACTTTGTTTTGCTTGATTTTTGTGGTTTTATTGCGGTGATGTTGCTTGATATTTTGGCTGTTTGATGGTCTGCGGAGATGCGTCTGCGAGGTCAGAATTTGGTTTTGACTTGACTTCATTTTGCTTGATTTTTGTTATATTTTGCGCATTGGTGGCTGCAGTGGATGGGTGGATTGGCGGAGAACAGAGTATTGATTTGCTTGATTATTGCTGTAGTGGATGTGGCGGGGAACAAAGTTTTTATTTGCTTGATTGTTGCGGGTGGTATTTGTCTGGGGTGACGTGTTGGCTGAGGTCGGAATTTGGTTTTGACTTGAGTTGATTTTGCTTGATTGTTGTACGTTTTTGCGCTTTTATTGGTGGGGCGTTGCTATGGTGGTCTTGGCTGAGGACGGAATTTTGTTGTTGCTGGGGCGGTGCTTGTCTTGGGTGATGCGTTGCGGTAGGTCAGAATTTGGTTTTGACTTGACTTGGTTTTGCTTTATTTTTGAGATTTTTGATGATTTTGTTGCTGGGGAGTGGAGCGAGAGTGTATTGGTATTGGGGGGATTTTGTTGATTTTGCTTGACTTTGAGTTGTAGTCTGGTGGGGGGATGTTGGTCATATTACTGTATGTGAGTGAGAATTGAGACACCGAGAGAATATGAATATGTTCCTGATCCTAAGCATTAACTGAGACGACGAGACGACGAGACACCGAGAGAATACGTTCCTTATCCTAAGCGAAGCTAACGAGACACCGAAGCCTAAACTAACGAGACACCGAAACCTAAACTAACGAGACACCTAACGGCAAGCTAACATGGGTGGGGGGTGGGGGGGACTTGAATTTGTCTTGGTTGTATTTCCTTGATTTGATTATGATCATGCGGTTGGTATATTTGGATATGAATTCGCTTGATTTGAAGTGCGGAAAGGTGAGCGGATTATACTTATTGTATGCGGATGCTTCATTTGCTCAAGGATCAGGTATGCAGATGATGCATCGGATTTGTTTGATGTTGCCTTGACTTTGCTTTATTTCGCGTTTTTTTGCTTATAGCGATGGCAGGATCTTGACTTCATCGTACTATGACTAGGTCGGGATCTTGTTGTATCTTTGCTTGATTCTAGTCATTGCTGGGGTGGCGCTTGTCTTGGTCGATGCGTTGGTGGAGGTCAGAATGTTGTTTGTATTTGACTTCATTTTGCTTGATTTTTGCTTGATTTTTGCTATTGTATCATTTTTCTTATTTAATTGCTGCGTTGTTGCTTGATTTCGGTCACGCAGGCCAAGGTCAGGATCTCGTATTGACTTGTCTTTATTTTGCTTGATTTTTGCGATTTTATTGCTATGGTGTCGGGTATATTTACTTGTTTGATTGCGCTGATCTGGCAGGATGGATAGGGGTGGGAACTTTCCTTATAAGGACGTCGTGATGTAAGTCGTAGCACGAATTTGTGCGAACGTGGCTGTGGTCGCGGAATGTCTTTATGTCGTGATCTGACGGAGATATGGGCAAAACAAGCGCAGCAGGGACTCTTTTACGTCATACATTTTCGCACTCAGCAGGGACTCCCTGTAAACCGGAATAGGGGCAGGGATTTCCTTTTTCGAGCAGGGACTCCCCATATATGGTTAGTAGCAGGGACAGGGACGGCTACAGGGGTGTAAACCGGGAAACAGATAGATAGTCGGAGCAAACGGCTAATATCATGCCGAACCCTGTGAGAGAAAATGGGCTGCCCTCAGCAAGGTTGTACATAGATGAATGCACCATGCACGTACCTGAGCTAATATTGGCCAACATCCCGCATTTCTGGCGAAGTCATGGAGTAAGTCGTTCATTCTCATTGACTCTCCACCTCATCAACATACAGCTGGGTTCTCATTCGAGGCAAAGCTCACTGAAGAACAAGTGTCAATCAATTAATCAAGGCGATGTGTGCTGGAGCGGGACGTACTATATAGATCTGTGATGAGAAGGACAAAGGGGAGGTATCTTGTAACAACATACAAGCCTTTCATCTTGCTCCAGTGCGATCGAAGTAAAAATGACCACTTTGCATATCATATTGTGTGTATCAGATCCAAAGCGTATCATGGAGGACGTGTATTACCTCTTCATGAAGTGAACATACATAATCATAGGTCTAGATAAGGGAGTTACAGCGGACATGAATGGACGAGAATAAGCCTACCCAGAATGCAGCCATCGATGCTGAGCTGTATCAGGACGAATAATATAACGTTCAAACAGTAGTACGCACTATATATGTACTGGTGTACATGACTTGTCAGTTATGATTCATCCTCGTATCAACGGGGAGACATACCGCGGCGAACTGCAAACCCCTTGCTGCTGCGACATCGTCACTCGAATACTCCATTTAGAGGTCAAAAAATGTCTTCGTACACATCGTGGGCTTTCTTAGCTGTTGAACTGTAAGCGCATCACGATGGCAGTGTAAATACCGATGCACTATTCAAGTTTAGTTAGTTTGAGTTTAAACTCAGCTTGCTGTGGTCGTGATGGTAGATGTTACCGCTCACTAGATGTACTACCAGCCTTGGTAAAAGATGCAGTTGCACTTTCGACGCTCGAGGCAGTACAACTGTATCCCGTAATAGTGGAGCGAGATCCGAAAATGATAATGAAGAGAGCTAAAGGAGCTCCGTCCTAGGCTCAGTGCAGCGTAGAGCGAGTCCGAGGAGTTTCGGGGTCTTCGAGCACATAGAGCCCATGCACATGTTGTACAGTCACACACATAAATAGGCGGCAGTCATCGGATCATCCTTCTTCCTCTCGCGATACTTGCCAGTGAGCTTGAAGCTTGAATTCACGCATAACATCGTAGCGGCGTCGGCATGCTCTCGGCAGAGTTATGGACCTTTTGAAAATGTCGAAGTTTGACAGGTAAACTCAGCTGGGCTGAGCCCGCGAACTGAGCCCTAGAATTGAGCAGCCCTAATAATTGCCACCCCGATTCGTTGTCATGATACAAGTTACGTTGCAGCGGCTGGGACATACACGATTCAGTCTACACTCGGGAACTGGCCATATCAAATAAAGAGAATGGTTACTGCGACTTAATGGCTTCAATAGACTTATCAACATTTCGTCGCATACCTTGGGAAAATAACGTACCTTTTTTTCCTTGTCTCATTCTTTGATCCGACTTCAGTGCCTGTTTGCACGGATCTTAGAGGCGTTCTGCGTAAAGTTGTCGACAATGCGGCTGCTCATGATTTAGAATGCATCTCTGGTGTGGAGTTTGAGGTGAGCAATCTCAGCTAGCTATGCGTTGCTCTGGATGGACTCATGAGGCTTTCTAGTACTTTAATTTCAAAGGTGTGTTCATGAACTTTCTCGTTTACCAGATGTAATTCAAAGGGATTTGCTCAGAAACCCCCGAGTCCGTGGCTAAAAGGGCTTCACCCGGCTGCAGCCATCAACCCCAGGGAGTAAGCAACGTAACGGTTTGCTGCATATTCGCTGATTAGAGTACTGCAGTGCATGGATATAGCTTATTGCGCACTCAATTGAACCGAGAATATTTTTACGCGCTGTTCGATGAGAGTCTGAAGTTTGGCATAGATGTTGAAGGACATCGTACGATGATTTATTCATTACAACAGTGATGACAACTGACTTCTGTGCAGACACCGAAACGGGTCCAAGTGTCCTCGAGACTGGGCTCGCTTATACATCGGCTATGAGAATAGCGGACAATGCTATCCTGTACAAATTCTCGGCAAAGAATGTAGGGCTGAAGCATGAAGTCCTCCCTAGTTTCATGGCGAAACCATGGGGAAATGTGAGTCAAATTTTAGTAGAATCTCACGGAAACGTTGCTTCAGCTACCAGGCTGCAGCGAGTTTGTATCGATATCTCATTTTACGTCCAAAACTTTTCTGACATCGGCTCAGACATGTACATGTATCACTCAACGACAGGAGACGGCCGCAACGCGTTCTCACTTTCAGAGGCAGACCGTGATCATGGACGAGCTAATGCAACGTTCGAGGACACAAGATACCTAAGTCAACTTGGGGAGCACTTTCTGGCAGGTGTATTGGACGGCATTCCTGATGGTAGGATTTATTTTTTGTTCGGTCAAGGTGTACGTTAATGCTAAACTGATGATGCAGTGATGCCTATGGTGAGTACCCGACTCCCACAAATGTGCTTTTTATCTAAAAGCTTAGGAGCTTGTCCCAACAATTAATGGCTATAAACGTCTCGTTGGTGGTGAAGTCTTTTGGGCTCCTAACACAGCTACATAATATGGGTACGATTCTCGTGCAGCTTCCATTCGCATCATCTCGCCACCGTCTTTTCCACCATCCGCAACGTTCGTGTACCTGGTGCCGATATGAATCCCTACTTTGCCTTGAGTGCCATCTTCCAACTAGGCATGCGGGGCATTACCAAACAACTCAAGCTCACAACGCCCCCATCTCTACTTACCAAAGCTACCCAGCCAGGAAGGAGGTGAGCTAGAAAATGATCTTACAGTATCATAACTCTAACTATTTAGGAATAGGTCATCTCGCCTCCTAGTTCCTTGGAAGATGTGACCAACGCTATGATGAGGCCTGACAGCATTGTCCTGTGAAGTGTTTGGCGATGATTTTGTGGATAATTTTGGAGCAACCAGGGAGCATGAGGCCTAGGTGAGACTTTGGAATGCGGCAGTGACAAATTGCGAAGGTAGGCGATGATCAACTATCTTTTCACTTTATGCATTAATCGGGCCTTACAGTTGAAAGATACCTCGAACTTGCATAAGAAATAATAAGACCTCTACGGGCGCATATATATGGCCCCCATACCATGGAATTTTACTCCAGTCACTGAGTTCCTTGATTGTAACATGCATCGCAGATATTTGACTTGGCATGCCGCATCTGAGATGTGTTCATAATCTCTCCAAGTGTGTTACCTTTTGTCATCTGTCACCCCCCTTCGGATCGAATAAGTGTTTGGCGGAGATATCATCCCATCCACTTTCAGGCAGGTGAACGTTCGCACACAGCCATCAAGACTTTTGTGTGATAAACGCGTCCACAATCGTCTCCAAATGCAGTATAGGTATCGTATGCCACCAACTAGATTCACGTCATATCGTTTCAGAATCTGCTTCCTATGGCCTATGGCCCATGAGGACCCTAGTTTCACCCTAGAATAACACACTCATTGCGCCTTCATGTTGCTTGGCTTCCACTTACTTATATAAGAGGTACCTAGTGAGCGAAATCCTGCTTTCGCTCCTCCACTGAATGCAGCTTCTAGAGAGTTTTCGCCTAACACTGTTGTAGTGGTAACACAGCCCATTTATATGTAGTTTCAAGGCACTTGCGACCACAGCATACAAAACTAACCCGAATAACAAGTCTGTTCATCACTTTCGCCCCGTATCTCTCCTTCCTCTCGATTACTGACTTTGCGCAGTATTTCACTGTCCTGTATGTCTGTACAACGCGACGTCCTTGTCATGCAACACGAAGAAGCCGAGTCAAGCAAGTCAACGAGACGGGGAGAAGGGCCATTGCACTCATCAATATATCAGACGAGCGCGAAAGATCTACCACTATATGGTGCACAGCACCGCCAGGATGCACTTTGGGAAGGTGAGCAGCTACCTTGTGATACCTACTAGGTTACTAAATTGGAATCAGGCGGGAATGAAACGCTTCCTCCTCTGTGGCATCAGTTTATGATATCGTCAAATGGTGAAACACTATATCAAGATAACACGCTCGTGATAGTCTCGAGGAACCAACCTTTACCAGGAGTGCGACTAGGTGAGGGATGAAATTGCGACAAGGAGCGACGAACTCACCGTTGAACATAGATAATCCCGGATATCTCGTTGTTCCTGGGTGTCAATGGCATATCTCACCACTCGGTCGGTCCTACTTTGTCGACCACAACACTCGGACCACGTCGTGGAAGAAACCAAAGCCAGAACGTCCTGCAGGAAGCTTGAAACCGGAGCGCGTCATTGAGGGTCACTCTGAATGCATATGGAGCCTTGCCTACTTGGATACCAGTGGCAATGTGATAAGCACGTCTGAGGATGGTTCGATTCGTCAGTGGAAAGAGACGGAGACAGTGGGAAAACCTTTGAATAGCGATGGGGGAGGGATACTTTCGATGGTAGTATCTCCGGATGAAACAATGGTCATTTGTGGAAGCACAGACGGCAGACTGCGGCGGTGGAATATAAAGGAGGGCAGCATGAGCGGTGACCCGTGGGAGGGGCAGTGAGGTGCCTCGATTGGTCTCGCAATTCCCTGGAGATAGCAAGTGGATCCTATGATGGCACCATACGACGCTGGAACCCGAATACTGGTCGACAGATAGCACCACCCATAGAGACTGGTCACGGACGGGTTTATGTCGTCAAATACTCTCCAAAAGGCGACAAATTCATAACCGGCGGCATGGACGATGTGATCTGCATATGGTCAAGGGATGGAAAGCTGCATATGGTCAAGGGATGGAAAGCTGCATATCGAGATCAAGGGACATCGCAGTGTGGCGATGTCATTATGTTGGTCCAAGGATGGCACACACATCTTCTCCGGGTCAGCTGATAGCACCATCCGAAAATGGCGGGCTATTGATGGACAGGAACTCGTCGTTTTTCGGGGTCACACGCACACTGTCTTATCCCTCTGTCTTACTCCCAATGAAAGGTATATTGTGAGCGGATCATATGACTACTCCGTTCGCATCTGGGATCTCGAGACCAATCAGGCGGTCGGAGATCCACTCTTGCACGATGACGGACTCTTGGCTGTTGCCCTGTCCCCCGATGGAAAATACATTGCCAGTGCTGGACCAGACAAAACAATCTATGCGTGGAGCCTGGAGGTGGCGCTCAAAAACGCTCTGGTACGTATGCGCTTTGTGGTCTAATTTCCCTTCCTAATTGTTTTGGCCATCTAGGGTGCAGATGATGGCAATGTAAAGCTCAAGGCGAGTCTTCTTTCACACAGTGACACTGCATCTCACCTTTTACTAGGGACATCCAGGCCAACCGAGAGTTGTGCGTCCACCAATTGTGAGCAACCCCACCTTTTCTCATGTGTCTCGTCAGACCTTTGACCGTCTTGTGTATAATCAGCAGCCTAACAAAACAGGACTGGGAAGATATGTCAGTGTACTTTCTTCTTCTTGACCTATCTGACACCAAGATACAGGGCAATGATTTCTTTGGCAATGAATCAGATCACGCGTCTCGTCGTGCAGCTCCACCCAGAAGCCCATCGTCCCTTATTCGTTGGCGTGGTTTGCTCAGTTCCATACATTTCGGCACACGACCTCTAAATGCATCCCAAACAATCGAACGACAGTCCCGACACTGGCATATCAACTTCAAATTATTTTCTGGAGGACATTCCATGCGCACCATCGATGTACCTCTTGCCCAAGATGACAATGTGAGTGATTCGTCGTCCCTCTAATCTTATTCCATTAAAATACACTGCAGAGAATTGGTATTGTCCCTGAGACTGATGCGAAGGCGGCCGCAGCTATGCAACGTACGAACAGCAACCAGGCCGACATTTCAACGCAATCAGGTCAACCAGCTGGGGCACAACCATCTAAAGTACAATCAATCCAAACAGAAGTACAAGGCTCAACTGGCGGAGTGGAAGACTTTGTGTATGCAGGAGTGAGCTGCTGCGGATTTTTCTTTGGTCGTCGTCGTCCTGCTTCGCATCAGTCATGAAGGATGAAAGACGTGTGACACGCGCACACTCAGTTCAACTCTCTTTCCCCGCACCTGTGTCTAACTCCTCTCATAATCGTTGTTCGCCACCATAACTATCACCCACTGCGCACTGGGATCCAAGTACGAGAAATGTGTATCTTCATTCTGATGTAGAAGCTGGACTTGTCACTTTTTTGGACAAGTTTCCCACTTATTCGAATGTCATTGATTGATTTTCTGTATTTTGAGGTCCTAAGGCGTTATATTGTGAACGTGTCGTGATGCCTCCAGAGAAGCAGTTGAGTTGAACGACAGGGCAAAAGTCTTCGCCAAGAAAACCAGGTATAGGACCAATCGCAGGCATAAGACGATGGATTTTAACGAATGAGTAGTTATAATATATTCGCTCTAAATACAAATGATGTACATGTATCTGGTGGATCTGCACCAATTGGCTTGACTGTATCATACTTATACGAATACGCACGATAGTCCAGGTAATGAGCCCATATAAAAAGTCCAGACGAACAACTATGCATCAGTATACCACATATATCCAAACATCAAAGAGCGTCGGTAGAGTGTGCGTGGGATGAAATGAGATGAGATGGAAAGCAGTAATGCTCTTAATAAAGCCCAGCATCCATGTCCGTCAACGAATGTCGACATGAACAGTATCAGGATGCTCGTGTGATGTCGAAAGTCGCCATGACGGAGTGACGACTTCAGTACTCGGACCCAAGGATGACGAGTTCCTGTCAACGCTGTCGCTCCGAGATAGGTTATTATGTAAACCAGTGATAATTTGGCTCCCGCGTGCAACGGTGCCAACGCCTGCCATACCTACACCAGCCTCCGCAACGTCGCCATCACTGCTCTGCGAGCCGCTTCTTCGGCGATGCCGGTTTGTGAGTAAGGGAACAGACGTGCTTTCCGGCACGCAACTGATTTCATCCGACGTTCGTCGATGGTTCGTGGTCAAAAAATCGAGGGAAGTGGGAGTATCGGGCAAGGGCGCATCAGTGCCTACAATCGTATCTCGATTGGCAGCATAAGGGATCCCAAGGATCGCTCAAATCGAATATCGACGGAGGCGAGTTCTCGTATTTGAGATTCCATTCTCCAAACTCGTCGACTGGATCCATCTCAACACGGGTCCTGTTTGAGTCGAAAGTATACTGGGACACTTTCTGTTTCCTCGTAGCGTATGCAAGCGTCCTGAGAGTACTAACAGGAGCATCATCGCTTGACTGCGAATTGCGCCTCGTAAGTTGGTAGACCCCATACTCGCCTTCGCCTTTCTTCCCTCCATCTGTGTCAACCATCCCCTGCTTCTTCCACTGCCGCCGCGTCATGAACCATTTCAACCCGAAAAGTGTGACGCATAGTGCGAAGAAGCCAATCAGGCCAATAAGAACTTCGAGGCCCACTGACATCTTTGGTTCGCTTGAAAAAGTGACCTGTGGCGGTGGTGCGCCGCCAAGTGGCTGATTGAGAACGCGCACATTGTTAAACTCATCAAGCGCTTGAGTTATGTTCGTGAGTCCCATAAGTCCGAGTGTTGGTCGGATTCCAGCGTAAACAGACATGTTAAAGGGTGGAGGTTCGTACGCAAGCACGGTGTAGACGTTGCGCATGAAAGGAACGCCGAGGACCATGTCCCCGATGTCAGAATTAGCAGTAAGTTGTGAGTCGTCAGCCTGGATAAGGCCGATGCAGTACTGTGAGTTGTGCTGCCCAGACGGCTCGCTGGTGAGGTCGAGTGGGTGGATGGGTAGCTCCGGTTGGCCGTCAAGAGTAATGGTCATATTGAGTGGGGTCGTACAAGGGACATAGTCTAACAGACAGTCAGCTTGGCAATTACGAGTTGAGGTGAATAGAATACAAACAATTGCCGTCCGAGGCTGGGCTTATGCCCAATGCGCCATATATTCCGTTTGCAATAGACGATGTCGTGACGATAAATGGCACCCCAGAGTCGAGCAGTGCAGTGGGGAAGGCAGCACCAGTAACAGACTCGGTTAGTACTACAGGACGTGCCTGACCATTTACGTAGACCGTAATGGCTCGAACATTGGTTTTCCAGAATAATATGCCAACGCCCTGGCTCACAAGCGTCGAATACTGGATTTTCGAAGGATCTGGAACCACAGATGAAGGATGCATACCAATTCCAAGAAGTGATGGAATTGCATCCGAACCAGGACGAGCAAAAGTGAGGGAGAAGAACGGTTGTGATGGAGCTGTCGAGGCGGGCGTCATGGAAAACAGATTCGAGGAAAACGATGCGCCATCTGGGTTGTTGTTCGTGGTCGGGGGAATTGTTTGCTCGATGATCGAATTAACAGGAAGAGCGAGACCAAGGATACCGTCAAAATCTAAGCTGAGGGGCTCGTTGGATACCGTGTTAACAGCAGCTGTAAATGTTGATGAGGAAAATGTAACAAAAATTACAGAAAACGAACCCAGCGCCTGATTCTCCACACTGTATGTTCCGAGCTGGACTGTATCCCATACTATGGGCCCGCTAACGGTTCCGGAGAGATAAGCGATGGTAAAACTAGCGCCACTTGACGTTGAGGAGGTCGGATCGTAGAGGCGACCATCTGTAGATGAACACGATGCAGTGGAACACGATTTTGATGCGATCCACTTCATTTTTGGGATTAAAAAGGCTGTGCAGCCAAGGAAGGCACGACTCACAAGATCCGATGAGCCTGTATCAATTTGAAGGGAAAGGTTTTGCTGAGCTGCGCCTACTGACACGGGCACGGTATAGGCACTAAATTTAAGCGATGAGTTTGGAGAAAAACGAAATCAGAAGGTAAAAATTTTAACCGCTGGAAAGGCAGGGTCTCCGGGACGGATAGAACAATTCAAAGTTCGTATAGGTAATTCAAATACTCACACTGAATCGTAGCTGGTGGTCACCATCTCAAGTTCTAATACCACACCACCAGCACCACCCGTACCCTCGTCTCGAGCACGTTGCTTGCCTTCTGCCTTGGATGATGCACGGGCGCTTTTGAGTAGGGTCATCGTTCACTAAGAGAGACAGCGGTCTGAAAGGTCAGGGGTTATGGGGAGCCAGAACTGCAAAACATAGTGGACTTGCAAAGAGGGTGGGGATAAAGGAGGGTCTGGATGAGATTTTGAACGTCTAGATGAAAGCCAATGAGGACATCCAAGCTTGATAGTACCAGGAGATGCGCTTGATAGTTGTCCTTAACTGGAAGGTATGATTAAGACAGTACGAAAGGGAATGGATGAGACTGGGGAATAGCTAGTGGGGATAACAGGACGAGGTAAAGAATGAGGCGATGATGCCAGATTTCAGGACTGTACATAAAAAGTTCCGTCAATAAGTAATATGTCAGAAAAGACGCCCAAAAGTCAGTTCGAACATACCGCAAGCAAAACCAAACGTGCTAAGATTGGGATTGTGTGAAGACAGTGGTAAGAGGGTATCCTCGGGCGCGCTCACCATCCCATTCCCGCCCGACGCGCTCGGGCTCGGCAGCGTTGCAGTTTGCAGCGACCCTGCATGATCTCCTTTAGGCACTTTATTCGCACACTTCACATTCTAAACAGGGAAATGCGAGCATGACGTCTTCATCCACACTCACCACGGCTGACTCTGTTAGGGATCACCGGAGGATTGAACTGGTACGAACGGAAGACCTTCACGCGCTTTCCCCACTTCCAGTGAGAGATCGAATAATCCGATTTAACCTGTGGACGACCCACAACAAGAGACTTGCTATCGAACCCAGCCGTAGCCTTCGTGTAGCGATGTATAACGTTGAAGAAGACGACAGGTGACTGGTAGTGACAGCTGAAGTAAAACATGGTGTCTAGAGCGAGAATAATATTTTGAAGCCGCGAAGAAGTCGATGATCGGCGACTCTCAAAAACAGAGTACTATAGTACTAGCCGCTGTCAGCCTGTCAGCGGTACCTTCACTCCGCATCCATCTTCAACGTTCAACCTTGTATCCTTTGGGTCCGTTCAAATGTATGCTAATAATCGCTGTAGCAGCTTGAATAGATTTCCTATACCACTAGCAAGTACTCCGGCCGCTGCCTAACGCAGCATTAAACGTGCACGCTGTGCTCCACATCCTCCCATCGTTATCGCGATATGTCCTATTTCGACATATAAAGTTAAGGCGGATCTAGACTTGAAGCTGTACCTGAACGGCATTTGTCGAGAGTTCCCTGATGGGGCAGACAAATATATAAGTCCAATCATAATGCATGATGCATGATGATTGATCCCCGCACATGTTTAAACTTACGGAGCGCTAAAAATGCTGCAGACGTCACCATGCGCTACTTGTTGATTGATTGCGGAGGACAGTGCAACCCTTTGATTGAGTGGACTGCAATGTCTGCCGTTGGCTTGGTACGGTAAGTTTGTGAACATCCAGCAATGCGTTTACAGCATGCCATCATATGCCAAAATTGTCGCCTAGCTGAGAAGTCGGTTTCTGGTAATTTGCAACTAAAACTGCTCCACACCTCGAAGCGAAGTCAGGGTTGGTAACTTACCAGCTATTGGTTCAGGAAGCCACACGCACCACTATATCAGATGAGGATACAATTGTGATACAAACAGCTCCCCACCAATCCGCAAAGTCGATAAGGACATCGCAACGTTGTCAAAGTGTCCTGTTTAAAATAGAGCAGTCGGAGATTACAAGGTGCGCTTACCTTCGATGGGCACCATATATGTCCCGCTTTCCACGATTCTATATTAGAAATTTGTACAAAAAACGAGTGACTCATGGCGGTACCACAGGAACGACTCGGAGAAGAGGTGATGATAGATCTTCAACACGTTGAGAGCAGGGGCTGGACTATGAGTTATAAAAGGATCGGTTTGTGACATACACACACATGATAATCATGACCGGTATAAATCCTGTGTTCAGTCAAAGTCTCATCGATAAGACTTCGACTGAGTACAATTCCTATTGCTGTGGTAGTAGCACCGTTGATCAAGAGCTTGCCGCGTCAACAGATTGTTCAAAGGGGGGCAAGTACATCCTGGAGCTACTACGTACTTGTTAGTTTGATTCTATAGCTAAAGGTTTTTCGATAGCGATAAAGTTGCTCACCAGCTTGACAAATTGATAATTGATTTCTTGAGTCGTATATTGTATATATACCGAAAAATTAGAAATGACCGTCCCGACTCCCGTTCTTCAACCATTCGTTAGATCTATCGAACCCTCATTTGGTGATTTGGTAGCCCCTCAAAATCCCAGAATTTATTTTTGAAGATTTGTGTCAAACTGTGAGCTCTGAGCATAACATTTCAGCGTGATTATGGTTTGCCGGACGACGGGAACAGAGGACGAGACAAAGCGGACATACGAAACGGACGGACAGGCGGACAGAACTTACTTTCAGGAGACGATTCGGAATTTCCCGTTCTGAGTCTTGACTCTATCCTCAATCATCAGGGTTAGTTTCTTCGTCTGGGTCGACCTGCTATAAAGCATGGCTACAAAATACACTGCTAGGGCAAGCGCTTCGACTTCTCGCCGTGGTCAATTTTCTTCTGGAACAAACCGTAATTCTAAATCACGGCCTACACATTGTCCGTGGGTTTCAATTTTTTGAACGCAGTATACGTGCTCAGTGCGTGATCTCCAAAGTCATATCCCTGCCCATCGTAAGTACCGATCTTTCGATAATGAAAAATTCACGCCAACGTAGAACTAGGGACACCATGTGCAATTGCAGGAATCAGTGAAGTCGTTCACGGATGGCTTGCTTAATTGTAAGCCTGCGCTCCCTGGCCTTGATCGCGGTATTGTTATCGCACCTCGTCGCCTTCATCTGACACTAGGAGTTATGACTCTTGAAAATTCACCGGGTTCTTCGGGACGAACTCTAGAAGATGCACAAGCACTGTTGTGCACATTGAGAACTCGCGTCATGGAATTATTGAACGGACATAGTCTCTCCATCCCTCTTACGGAGATGAACATCATGAACCCCGATCGCGGTAATGCAGACGATGCGCATGTACTCTGGTTGGGCCCTTCATTGGACACAGAAGACGCGCAACGCCTCAAATCTGTTAGCGGTGCGCTGATGCTCGCCCCATGCTAATTATATTCGCATATCAATACTGTAGCAGAATTTGTGAACAAGGCATTTAGTGACGCCGGGTTTATTCAGGATCGTCGTCCTCTCAAGGTTCGTATCTCTTATTCCCAAATTAATGTAACTTAGTGGCCAATGCGGAATTAGCTGCATTGCACAATTCTCAACACTTCGTATCGCAAACCATCTCGACAGCCGTTCTCCTATAATGCAATTCTGATGTCGCCGTTTATTCGCGAGTTTGTTCGTACACCGCTAGAATCACATGATTTTCGGCACCCCGTGAAAGTGGAGTTTGGTACTTGGAGTGTTGATGAGATACAGATATGCAAGATGGGAAGTTACGGACCCGAAGGCGAATACGTGAGTTGCGGGTGCTGTTCGTTGGCGTCATAGGTTCGATGTATGACATATGGTGTCCAAATTGTTTTATACTTACAGCCGAGGCTTGGCTGGACTGCGTCGCTACGGCATGACAGATACTTTGAGTACCCGTGGCTGTAATGCTGTGGCTTGCGACGAGGAAGGGCTTACTAGAAAGGAAGTTAGGTCTCACGCACAGGCCTACACTGTGGCACAGCCCATTGTGTGGCCATTGAAAGAGCGATTAAAAGACCGACTTGTATCATCGTGCGACTCTTGTCTCGCTGAACACCATCATCCCCAAGGAGCGCCCGTACATCCACGCAATCCTACTTTCTACGTTCGAATAATGGCTGAAATCAGGAGGAAGCTTGTTATCGTTGGTGATGGTGCTTGTGGAAAGGTACGCCCCTTAATGTGCACGCGAAACAACACAAGGAACCAGCTCATATTATTAACAGACGTGTTTGTTGATAGTTTTCTCTAAAGGAACATTCCCTGAGGTATTTTCCATCAGTATCGTCAGCCGCGTGCTTGTCTAATTATTTGCTTGATTTGTGCGCACATAGGTCTATGTTCCGACCGTCTTCGAGAACTATGTAGCAGATGTGGAGGTTGATGGAAAGCATGTCGAGCTTGCGCTATGGGATACGGCAGGGCAAGAAGATTATGACCGTCTCAGACCTCTCAGTTATCCAGACACCCATGTCATTCTTATCTGCTTTGCTGTTGACTCACCAGATTCTCTGGACAATGTTCAAGAAAAGGTACGTCTGGCCAATGAGCAATGCCTCATTCGGTCCTGACGGCATCTCCCGAAACCAGTGGATTTCCGAGGTGATGCACTTCTGCGCCGGTCTTCCCATCATTCTTGTTGGCTGCAAGAACGACCTCAGACGTGACCGACGAGTGATTGACGAGCTCAAGAAGACGAGCCAGAGACCTGTAACTCCTGAGGAGGTACGTTTTTGTTTCCTTTCTCACAGATTTCTTTGGATGATGTGTCGACCTTTTCAGGGTATGGCGGTAGCGAACAAGATTGGCGCGAGGCACTATCTCGAGTGCTCGGCCAGAACAGGCGAGGGCGTTCGCGAAGTCTTCCAATATGCTACAAGGGCTGCACTTCTTAGCCGGCCCAAGAATAGCAAGAAACACCACTGCGTGGTTGTGTAGACTATCTTGTCTTACTTTCCACATCGCCGCACCCCGCCGCTTCTCTGACTACACCCTTGCCCCTGTCAAGAGTCCATACCCTTCACGACTAGTTGTTATTAGCAATCTTCATGATCTGTCCTTTCCCTCGCTCTATTTTTGCGTGACCGGACACGTGTGCGGCCTTGTCAGTATTTGACTCTGCATTGATATTTCTTTGCTTTTCAGTTTTGAATGAATTCAAGTAGGATTGCGTGGACCTTTGGTAGTAGGTTCTATATCCACGCTTCTGCCTCTTATTCCGCTTCGAGTTTGAGTCGCATGTTTACAACGGTCCTTGTTTCCGATGTTCCAGGAGTGCGAAAGCGCCAAGGTGAACCTTGAAGGTATTGTGAATCATACGTCGGGCTTTCCCTTGATGAGGTCTTTGCTCTCTAGACGACGTCAAGGATGCCCAATTCTGCAATGCGCTTGCTGGGATTGAGGGTGTGGCGTAGAACTGCAAAAGCACATCCTCGATGTACAGGTGAAATTGTACGAGGTTCGCCTTGTACAGGAAACTTAATTTTGTCATGTTCATGCATTCACATGCTTGACTTGAAGAGGCGCGCTCATCAAATAGTGCGTGTCATTCAAAAGTCTTGTTTCCAAACCATGCCCAAAACTTCAGTGTCCTTGTACAATTCGAATGTACCTCTTGCGGGCTGCCTATGCTTGTTTGGGATTGCCGGCGGTGACGGTGACATCGAGGGGCCGACTTCTGATCGTGCTATATACCAACAAAGTTGATATTAGGTTAGTTGTCCAATGCTATTTTCCAGATTTCCTGCACCGTTTTTCTGTATTCTAATCGTACCAGGTGAGGT